TGTGTGTGTGTGTGTGCGGGCTGTGCTTCAGTGGATCTGTTTGTGTGTGTGTGTGGGGGCTGTGTGTGCTCCAGTGGATGTGTGTGTGGGGGGCCCGCTGTGCTCCAATGGATGTGTGTGCTCGAGTACATGTGCCGTGGCATTTGGGTGGAGATCAGAGATTTAAAGTTGGTTTTATTCTTTTACACTATATGGATTCTGGGGACTGAACTCAAAACTTCAGACTTGGTGACAAGTGCTGTTACTTGCTGAGCCACCTCACCAGTCCTTGATGCTTAATTTTAAAGGAGATAGATTTAAAGAAAATTTAGCATGGTGCTACATAGCACTTAGAAGACTGAAGTATAAAAATCTTAAATCCAACGCTAGCCTGGGCTACATGGTGTGACTTTGTCTCAAAAAACAACCTAGCTGTAACAGAAAATCCAAGTGTTGGTGATGAAGTGGATTATAAAAATAAGTAGTGGGCTAGAGCTATAGGTCAGAAATAGATTGCTTATCTTGTATGTATGAGGCCTTAGGTTCAATTCCCTGTACTGCCAAAATGAATTGCTTCATTTAAGCTAGAGAAATGGTTTTTTTTTGTTTGTTTCTTTTTTCGAGACATGGTTTCTCTGTGTAGCCCTGGCTGTCCTGGAACTCTGTAGACCAGGCTGGCCTCGAACTCAGAAATCCACCTGCCTCTGCCTCCCAAATGCTGGGATTAACGGCATGTGCCACCACCATCCGGTGAGAAATGTTTTTCATATTTTTACAATGCTTTGGTTTCAGAAGCAATTGTTTATCTTATTCCTACTAATATCTTTAAGTTCAGAGAACAGGCTGGTGAGATTGCTCAGTGGGAAAAGGCACTTGCCTGAAGGCTGCGCTCAGTTCCCAGATCGTACTAGACAAGGAAAAGAGCTGACTCTCAGAAGTTCTCCTCTGACCTCCACATATTGACTGTGACACATGTGTTGGGTATGAACATTCAAAAATCATAAGTAAAATAAAAAAAGAAAAACTCAAGGATGCTCTAAAAGTAGTATAGTTATGGTAAAACCAAAACTTATTCTGTATAATGAAAAAAAAATTAACAACCTGAAAGTTGCTAACCTCAAAATAGAATGCAGAGTATGATTCATACAACTGAGAGGCATTTTGAAATAAGATAAAATGTTTAAACTAGCCAGGTAGTGGTGGCGCATGCCTTTAATCCCAGCACTTGGGAGGCAGAGGCAGGCGGATTTCTGAGTTTGAGGCCAGCCTGGTCTACAGAGTGAGTTCCAGGACATCACCAGCCATCTGGCCTTCATAGGAAGAGAAGTCAGGAAACAGAACAGTTAAAGTAAAATATAAGAATATAGATCCTGAAGAGTCTGAAGGGAAGCAAGCAACCCATAAAAGAAAGGCCTGTGGTACCTGGGGCTAAAGCACACCAGTTGGTTTGGTGGTCAGCCTGGACAGCATAATAGAATCCCATAGCAAAAACAAAAGAGCAGAGGAACACAGGAGGCAAGGGAGAGAGAGGGAAAGCTGGTTGGAAATAATCCTGGGTACTGGCATCCTGTTTTGGATATTTCAGTAGATAAACTTAGAAACTTAACTTGTCATTGTGATGTGACATTGTGATGTGACCTATTTGAATTACTCCTCTTTATGCTTAGGGGTCGGTTATGCTAAAGATTAAAATTATCCAGAAATTTGCATTTAATTTATTTGAGGTAGAGTCTCATGTAGCCCAGGCTTCCCTCGAATTCTGTGTAGCTGTGGATAATGTTGAACTTTGCCAGAATTATAGGCATGGGCTATGTATACCATGCTTTTACATAGTACTAGGGTGCTTTTTTATTTATTTCTTTTCTTTCCTTAATGTCAGTTTACCCATTTATTGCTGGCTGTGTCTCAGACTGTAGTCCTTCTACTGGTCTTTCAGTTCCTCGAGTCTTCTGATGGCAGGCGAGACAGCAGAAGTGGTGTTGCAGGTCTAGGCTTGCCATTGTTTTCATGCAGGAACCACAGTGCCAGATGCCAACGGCTTGTTTCTTTGTCTTGGTCTTGCCACAGAAGGAGCAAGCGTACTTGGCATGCTGGCTAATTTCAAATTTCTTCATCATTTTCTGGAGGGAGGCACCTTAGGAGGTCCAATGTTTCCATATAGTCCCAACCATCTTGGTGTATTTAGCCATGTTGCTGTAAGTAAAGCGGAACCCAGAGAGCACCTGGGGGTGGTTTTAAGATGTGCTGGGTTTAAGGCTTCTTCAGTCAGAGCTTGGGTTAAAGGTATGCCAGGGTATAAAGTCCAGTCCTCACAGTTTCACTGTTAAGCCATCTCTGTGCTGCTGGAACTCTGTTTAATCATTTTGTCCAGTATCCCAAGTACTGACATTGGAAGCATGTGCCATTGTGTCCTCATTAACATTTACATTTTTGCTTGTTTTTGAGACAGAGTTTCTCTGTGTAGCCCTGACTGTCTTGGAACTAGCTCTGTAGACCAGGCTGGCTTGAGCTCAGAGATTTACCTGCCTCTACCTTCCGAGTGCTGGGAGTAAAGGCATATGACACCACTGACTGGCTACATTCTCCCCCCTAATCCCCAGGGGTGTATTTGTGGGCATTGAGTGTCAAAGTGCATGAATAGAGGTCAGAAGACAGCTTATGAGAGTTGGGAATTGAGCTCAGGTTGTGAGGCCTGGTGGCAAGTGCCTTTACCAACTGAGCATTCATGCTAGCCCCACCCATAACATTTCTGATTGCGAGAGTAAAATTAACTTAAGATTCACAAGTAGCTGATGATGTAGCTAGCTATGTTGTATAGTATACATCTAGTATTTATGAGACCCTGTGCTCAATCGTCTCCCATCCCCAAAATGATGCAAGTATAACTTAGAATACTACTGGGCTGGGTTTTTTTAGGGAGGAGGGGTTATTTATTTATTTCTATTTTTAATTTTTTTCTTTTTTTTTTTTTTTTTTTTGGTTTGGTTTGGTTTTTCGAGACAGGGTTTCTCTGTGTAGTCCTGGCTGTCCTGGAACTCACTCTGTAGACCAGGCTAGCCTCGAACTCTCGAACTCAGAAATCCGCCTGCCTCTGCCTCCCAAGTGCTGGGATTAAAGGCGTGCGCCACCACCGCCCGGCTTTTAATTTTTTTCATTGAGACAGAATCTCTCTATGTAGCCCTGGTTGGCCCAGAACTTGTTATGTAGACCAATTTGGCCTTAATTCAGTTCTGCCTGCCTCTGCCTCCCAAGTGTTGGAATTAAAGGCATGTGCTGCCATACTCAGCTCTTTTTGAAAAAACATTCTGAAGCATTTTTATGTTTTATTTTGTGTGTTTCCCCCACCCCCCCAAAATAATGTTTGTTTTTTTTTTTTTCTTTTAACTATGATTTGGAAGTTTTGGTTATAATGTCTTCTTTCTTGCAGATTTTGTATTTTGTACATACATTTTGTATATTGTGTATATGATGACTTCTGTGAGCAATGATCGTTGCCGAGGTGCTCGGGAAAAACCACAGATGCCAACAACACATGCAGCACAGTCACAGAAACAAGTGGTACAGGTAAGCTTTTGTGAAGCCTCTGTTTCTTTTAGAAGGAACTACACTCAGAAGGAATGATTTAATATTCCCCTTCCTAGGAAACTCAGGATTTAACCTTGTCTTTCTAGAGTGAGTAATAAGTGTAGGAAAGAGGTGATCATGGTAAAACTAAATGTTGTTCTAGGAGAATCATTGTATAGTCCTGAATTCCAGTTGTTATCATCTGCTACAGCAGTTTCCTTCCTTCTCCTTTCCTTTCCCTCCCTGCTTCCTTTTCTCTCTCATTGTCCAGTGTGTAATATTAGGAATTGAATCCAAGAACATGGGTTCTAGACAAGCACTCTACTACTGACCTAAAATACCCCTAGACTGTCTGTTACTCTTCTAAATGAAACGAGACAGTTGAGTTTAGCATTGAGCACAGTGTCTGGTACAAAGTTAACATTATGTACTACATTGTTCAGGTGACAAGTTTCTTAACAGAAACAGTATCTTTTTTCCCCCTTATATGTTTTATTTTTTATCCTTACATTTATTAACTGTTTATGTGTGTACACACATGTACATAAAGAAATCATTGTGGTTTTTGAGGTTAGCTCAGTTTAAGAGAGTTAGCTTCTACCATGTGAGTTCAGGTATGGAGCTCTGGTTGGAGTTGGCAGCGAGAGCCATAATTTACTGAACCATATTGCTGGCTCTCAGAAGCAATAGCTTAGTGAGTAATGAATCATTTTAGTTAAAGATCCCTGGCTTGATACATCCTTATTGTTCGTTTTGTGATTTGAGACTCGGTCTTACTAGGTCTGCCAACTAGGCCTTGAATTCCTTATTCCTCTGTTTCAGTTTCTTGGGTGCTGGGGTTCTTTCCAGAAGTAGACTACTCCAGCTGACTTTGATAATAATTTATTTTATTATTGGTTTTGGGGTTGGTTTTACCAATGAGCTATACCCCTTAATCCTTTTTAGGAGCTTTGTGTAATTCATACTGAAGTATTCTGTTTTTTTTTTTGTTGTTGTTTTGGTTTTTTTTGGTACAGAGTAGATTTTTTATATAATTTCCTGTGTTAAATTGGATCTAAAATTAGCTTTGTATCTTGCTGCTGTTAGCAGATAAATAGCTGCTATTTGAGTGCTTACCCTAAGTCTTTTTACTCTTACAAGATAAGGACTGCCATGCTGAGAGTTGTGGCATAAGCAGAGGCAGGCAGATTTCTGAGTTTGAGGCCAGCCTCATAACATAGTGAGTTCAGGCCAGCCAGAACAGAACAACTTAGGAGACTTAGGTTTTTTTACTGCTGTGAAGAGACACCATATCCAAGGCAACCCTTATAAAGAAAACATTTAATTGGAACTGGCTTACAGTTCAGAGGTATAGTGGGAACATGGTGGGAAGCATGGCAGCATCCAAGCAGACATGGTGCTGGAGCAGGAGCTGAGAGTTCTACATGTTGATCAGCAGGCAGCAGAAGGGGACTGTATACCACACTGGGTGAAGCTTAAGCACAGGAGGTCTCAAAGCCCACCTCCACAGCGACACACATCCTCTTATAAGACCACACCTACTCCAACAAGGCCACACCCCCTAACAGTGCCACTCCCTGTGTGCCAGCCATTCAGACACATGCATCTATGGGAGCCGTACCTGTTGAATCCAACAGAGAGACCCTGTTGTTAAACTGTGGGGCTAGGCTGTTTTGTTTTTTAAAGATGTATTTATTTTATGTATATGAGTACACTGTTGCTGTCTTCAGACACATCAGAAGAGGGCATCAGATCCCATTACAGGTGGTTGTGAGCCACCATGTGGTTGCTGGAAATTGAACTCAGGACCTCTGGAAGAGCAACCCGTGCTCTTAACCACTGAGCCATCTCTCCTGCCCTAGGCTGTTTCTTTAAGGAATTGTCTTGTATTATTAAAGAAGCATAAGTTAGTTATTACCTATGGTTACTGCTAACCACAAATCCTGATGATGATGATGATGATGATGATGATGATGATGAAGTTAGTTTTTAGAAAGAAATTAAATCAGTAAAAACAAAGAGTATGAGTTTTTCAGGGTGGGCCAACTGAATGCTAGTGGTGCAAATGGTACCCCTGTGTGCTTTGCAAGCAAATTTGGGCTGATTGTCAATCAGTTTGCAGGTTGGAGGAGGGAATTAATTCTTTTCCTTTTGAAAGGGTTTTATTTTTATTGTTTCATTTTAGGGTTTGAGACAGGGTAGCCCAGACTATCCTAGAACTTTCTGTGTAACCCGTGTTGGGCTCAAACTTCAATTTTCTTGCCCCAGCCTCCCTGGGATTGGTAGTACACTAAAAGCTTTTCATTGATAGCTTTTTTGTAAACCCTCTAGGGGATGGCTTAGGTTTTCCAAAGGAAAAAGCTGCTGACTGAACAGTCGGGAGGATTTCTTGGTCTCAGGTTTCTTTTTCTTTTCTTTCTTTTTATTTTTTATCTTATTTTATTTTTTGGTGTTTTTGTGTATTTGCTTTGCTTTTTAAAAATGTCTTTAGGTTATATGCTTGGACATTTTGTCTGAATGTGTGTATGCATACCATGTTGTGTATGCCTGCGACGGCCAGAAGAGGGCATCTGTCAGAGCTTCTGGAATTGGTGTTACAGATGGTTGTGAACCACCATGTGGATGCCAGAAACGGAACCCAGGTTTTTGGAAGAGCATCCAGTGCTCTAACTGCTGAGCCATCTCCATCTCACTTTTTGTTTTTTGAGGCAGGTTTCGTAGTTGAGGCTGGTTCAGCTTGCTGTGTCATCCAGGCTGTCTAATTGAAGTCTGCCTTCCTTCAGTGCTTGCTTTATAGATGTACACCGTTTCATGTCTTGCTTTTCTTTTTCGCTTTTTGACATCTTATTTTATGTGTGTGCATGTCTTGCCCTGTATAACACATGCACAGTTAAGATGGTTCTGAACTACCATATATGTTTTGGGAATCAAACCTAGGTGCTCAGGAGGAGTACTCGGTGCTCTTAACCACCAAGCCATCTCTACTGCTCCCTTTTGTGTGATTTTTAAGATTGGGGTTTGGGGGGCTGGAGAGATGGCTCAGCGGTTAAGAGCACTGACTGCTCTTCCAGAGGTCCTGAGTTCAAATCCCAGCAACCACATGGTGGCTCACAACCATCCATAATGAGATTGGATGCCCTCTTCTGGTGTGTCCGAAGACAGCAACAGTGTACTCATAATAAAATAAATAAATCTTTAAAAAAAAAAGATTGGGGTTTGGGCCTACAAGATAGCCTAGTGGGTAAAGCCCTTGCCATACAAGCCTTACAACCTGAATTTGATATTTGGAACCCATGTAAAGGGTAGACTGTTTCCCCTGAATCCCACATGTGCACCATGCATACACATACCTTTATAACAAAGAAAAACATGAGGTGTTGTTTGCTGCTGTGCTTGCTTGGTTGATAAAAGCTCTCACCATACAAACCTTGAGCCCTGAGTTTGAGTCTAGACACTCACATGTTGGAAAGTAAGGCAACTAGTTCCTAAAAGCTGTTTTACTTCCTCATGTATGACACACCATTCACAAGCCTGCATTCATACAATAATCATAGTAAAAATGGAGGAAAAAAGCTTTTAAAAACTTATAAAACAATTGACTATGTTGCCGTCAGATGGTGTCAAGCATTTGGACTTAAGCTTCCGTCCTGTCGTAGCCTCACGTGTAGCTGAGGTAATCAAGGTTCTCTTTTGTTTGTTTTTGAGGTAGCTTCTCTGTTAGGTAGCCCTGGCTGTCCTAGAGCTTGCTTTATAGACCAGGCTGGACTGACTTAAACTCACAGAAATTCACCTGTCTCCACCTTCTGAATGTTGTGATTAAAGGCATGTGCCACTATGCCCTGGATGATAGTTAATTCCTAATTTCTGATACAGCTTTTTATAAATTTATGTTGAGAATGTATATGAAGTCTCAGTCTCAAGCCCTACCACAATATATGCATACGAGTGTACATGTGCTCACATACTTGGGGATGTAAACTAATTATGGTAAAGTACTTGCCCAGCTTGCATGAAGCCCTGGGTTCAGTCTTCAGTACCATTGAAACTGGGCATGGTGGATGGAACAAAACTGTAATCCCAACACTTCAGGAAAGGGTACCAGGAAATTCAGTATTATCTTTGGCTGTAGTGTTTTTGAAGCCAGCCTGGGCTACATGAGACCCTAGAGAGAGACAAGAAAATGATTGTTAAATTATAAGTTAAAAAAAAGTTTCCTGAAGGTGCATTAAAGTGAGAATAAAATTTCCTGAAGGTGCATTAAAGTGAGAATAAAGAGGCCTTTATTTGGTAGACTACTAAGAGAGCTGTTTTGAGTTTATGTAGACCTGAGTTTGGGTTTGGGTCTGGGTCAATTGCAGTTTCTGGAGTGTTTCTGCCCCTGGCAAACTGTAATATGTCTGTCCTTTCAGCCAAGCATTGTTTAGGTATCAGATCTCCTCAGTGTCTCTCTTCCTCTTTCTTTCCCTCACACCAACCCCATTATACTAAAGCGCAGGCTGTACCTCAGCCTCCACAGCCTCTCCTGTTGCTTTTTTCCCTTTGTTATCTTTGCCTTTTGAGTAGCTGGAATTTCACATCTATGTTGGTAGAATATGCTTGTGCTTTGGTTTCTTGTCGTTGACATATTTGAAGAATATAGGGTAAT